TTTGAGTTCGTCCAGGGCTTAAAAGTGCCTGATGGAACAATATACAGGAAGGCCTGGCCATCGGAGAAAAAGAACAAATGTTGGCAAATGTGAGTCGTGTGGAATGTGTGAATCAAAACTGGAGACTATTTCCTCCCAAGCCTTTTATTTATTTCTAATGGCAAGGTTGAAGGAAATTTGCCAACTTCTTTTATCTCTTTTTTTTTTCTGGATCAAACGAAGTCGAAGTCCAAAATGTTTTTACCACGATCACACTATAGTTTGATATACAATACCGACATTTAATGTCATGCTTCACATTTTCTTATTCTGCGAACATCACCTTTGTGAAGCAAATTGTTTTGCAGTAGAAACTGAACGGTTTGCCAGACTGAGTTGGAAAACAAAACATGAATTCACACTCCCATGACATTACGACAGGTATTTATCTATAGATAATTTTTCTTAAAAAAAGAAAACTTTCGTAATTATTCAAAGCTTAATCCTTTTGAAATATAAAACATTAATAATCATAATCTTCATCAGTGATTGCCAAATAATTTACAAAAGAGTTACTCTGGAAAGTAATTTAGCGGTGGACTTAGAATTATTTCGAGTAATCTAGATACACAGACGTATCAATGGACGTAGCAAACTGGTATGTACAATTTGATCAAAACTTCTCACATTTACTTCTTTCCAGCTTATTTGAAATTTATCTAAATTCACCTTTCAAGAACCTCTATGGAGGGGACTAGCACGAATTACAAAAATGAGTAATTTTTAAAAAACTTGCCTTCGTTTTAAATCAAGAAGACGGTTAGGACAAACTCGAAAATGACCCGGGCTGAGTTAAATAAAGAAATCTGGCCTTGCATTGAGAAAAAAGGTATAAAGAAAAATATTCAAGCATCAATCGGAAATGAGCTAACTCAAGTATATTATGTAGGGCTTTCGAAATACGTGTATTTAATATAGCATTTTTACTTGCGGGACGTCGATGCGGTGCACGTACATTTTTCAATTTTTTAAGTGGACGCTTCTTGAATTTCAGTCCATGTTTAACAAATGTAAGCGAATTCGAATGCTGGCAAAAACATAATATAAAACATTGAAGTCCTTTTTTAAAAAAACAATTTGCAAGATAGGTTACGGAAAATTATATCTAACGGCTTTAGAAGATAAGCGACATTATCTGACGAACAACAGTGACAAATCAATGTAAAAAAATATATATCACAATCAACTAAACTAAAAGAAAGAGAAATAAAAGAAAAAGTTCGTGTTCAATTCCAATATAATGGGGTGTTAGTCAAGTGCTACATATATCATTTGTTAACAGCAGTTGGGAGAACGGATTAACACCGCCCAATTCCTGCTCCTTCACGTAATAGGGATTTTTTTATAGCAAAGGACAGGCACTGCAAAGGCAACGGTAACCTCACTACCAAAGAGACTAAGGCGTGTTTCAAAAATGTTGTGGCGATTATCCCAACTCGTAAAAAATTCAGAATTTAATTTTTGGGGACCGAATCCAAGCCTACTGGCCACGTCCACATGAATGTGTATATTTTTGAAACAGCACAGAATGTTTAAACCGTATGGCAATTGGCCCTGCATTCACACAAAACGAGTAAATCTGCTCACCGAAACCTCATCTTTTTATGCCGCGCTCCAGACCGTCCACAGGAGTCCGGGTTTTAAAATAAATAAATTATCTTTATCTTAAGGAAAGTGATGAGACCAACAAGCCTTTCTGAAACAGTGTTTCTTCAAATCGTGCTTTGTCTGGCGCTCACTTACAGTGTCAAGAGCCAGGGACTGTGCCAAAACTTTTACTTTGTGTTGAACAATCACGTGGTCGATGGACACGCCCTTGAAGGTCATGTTGTGCAAAGGCGCACCGTAAATACCGCTGCACAGTGTCACGTGATGTGTAGAGACAACTGCCAGTGTGTCTCTTTTAACTATCTACCAAGTGACCAAGAAAACAACTGTGAGCTGAATGATGCTAATAAGGAGATGAAACCAGATGCGCTTAAAGTCAAATCAAGAGCACAGTACTATGGCTTGGTCAGAAGCTACATTATGGAGGTAAATTGAACGTCTTTTAGGGCATTTATCTGACAGGCCGTGCCGTTCGAGAAAAGTGAAAAACAGTCGAACCTCCCGCTAACGGCTACCTGTCAGTCTTTAAATTGACTCTTGCTTAAACCTGTCTACAACGGCCACTTTCCTTTCTCCTTAACGTGGCCATTGTGGTTAGGTTCAACTGTATCTAAACACTGTATCTAAACACTTGTTGCAAACGACGGTGAATATTTTTGACTACACTACACAGTCGTCATAAAAGGGTTGCACCAATGGTTTTTCTCCAAATCGTTTTATTAGAGCCTTATCTACCTCTAAAACCGAACAGAACCAGTACCAGGCAACTAAAAACTAACAGAGTAAATTCATACCAAGCCAAGCTAGCAAGCTGCACTGAACTACAGCAACTACACCAAAGCGCACTAACCACTCTAAGCCAATAGCAAACTACATGCCATGGTGGGCATATAAGACGCCTAAAATGGCCTCTTCTAGCCTGCTAGCAAGGTCTTCTTCTCGCGACTTCCACAAATGGAGAGCTTGCTGGCAAGCTAGGCCTAATAGGGAACTTCTTTTGCAGTTTTTATCCGTTTGTGTTCAAAGTTTGTAGGATGGTAGGACTTAGAGTTCTAAAAACCGCATGTTTTTTTTCGATTTTTAAAAATCATCAGTGGCAAAATCTGAGTTTCAACTACGATCTAACAGATAAATAACTTTTAAAGACCACGATGCGATAGAATAAATGTCGGCACTTATAAAACCTAGCACCAAGTTACACCAGTAATTGACAAAAGCCTGTTCACTTGTTTCAATCATAGTTGAACTCAAAGATAAATTCCTTTCCCATTGTTCGAAAATATCATCTGGAGATCACGTGCAGATTATCGGAGATCCAATCGGCGCTGTTGAAGTCAAAGTGTTGACAAGCCAAACACATATGTACAAGCTTGGTAGAGTATAGTGCGATAGGTGGCCACAGATTTTTGCTCCGGACGAGAATCTAGGAGATAAGCGTTGGCTTTTTGTATATTTCTCTCTGTTAAGGCTGGATTAGATGTCATTTGCTCATAAAGTTGTTCTTTGGGTGATGCAACAGTGGGGTTACCTGGTAACTGTGATTGGTCTAGGTTTTTTTCCGCTCACGTCATGATCAGCAGACGTTAGTGGGGCAGGAATGCGTGACGAACCCCTAAGAACGTCGGCGCGGGAGGCTATGATGTGGCCGACCGATTCAGCCATTCTATGCCAGTCTCATTTCCCGTAGTTTCATACTTATCGAGTACGATAACCCCATGGGGCTAGAAGAATTTGAAAATCTCTACACTGCGCTGCGCTCTGCTCTCAAGTGAAAGATTTCTTTTGCTTTAGTACGCAGATTAATCTTTAATTATATATACTAGGTAGAAACAGTCCAGTCAAATTGTGGTTTAATATCAAACTAATTTGCTACATAATTTTTTCAACGCCATTTAATTGGTGGATGGCTAATTAACAACATACTAAGAATCCGCCAAAAAAACATGACAAACTGATTGGCAATATAGATTTTCGAATTTCTCCACCGGGAGCCCAGTTACAGGAAAATCACAAATGCAGGCAAATAATCTGTTAATTGTGTTGTTTTTTTTTTTCTTACAGCGGTTACCACTAAAACGCGCTCTCAAAGGGTTTTTTCTTCGGTTCAAACCTGTGTTTTGGTGGACGTCAATCAACCGTTACCATGGTTTTTCACACTTTGGCCTAGAGAAGATTCTTTCTCCGTTTCTTGAGCTCTCGGAAGAATATGTCGGCGTTTCAGCCCTTTCTGCAGTATTTTGCTGCAGGATCTGACACCGCTTCATTAGATTACTAGGAGAAAGAATTTGTTGAGTGTTTTTTGGAGGAAACTCAAATTATCGACATATTTACACACTGTAAGTTACAACCACATAAACTCTTGAAAACAGCCTCCATTCAGAAAAACTTTTTCCTCTTTTCGGTGTGATATCTTTTGTTTCTTTGAATTTATACTAGCTTCTTGGCAATTCGTCCACAGCTCCCGTGTTTTCATACAATCAAATAGATAAACAACCTGAAAACCGTTACGTAAACTATAGAGAATGTTTCGGCTATTTCACTCAGCTCGCAGAGACCTCGTTGTTTTAACAATGTAATCCTTGATCTTAATAAAATAATTTAAAAAGCCGTCGTCGTTGGAAATTATTTGCCCTTCATTCAGCGATGAGGGAACCTTCACTGTCAGAGCGCGTGGAAAACCATGGAAACAGTTGATTGACCTCCACGAAAACTCAGGTTTAAACAGACAGAAAAAACCCTTCAAAGGCGCGTGTTAGTGGTAACCGCTGTAAGAATCTTAGATACAACCTTGCTTATGTGTCTTCTGGGTAGTTTTGTTTTAAAATACTCTGAATGGTTTAAGAAACACCTGGGTTTTTGTTTCGTCTTGAGGGCTTTGCACAGGTTACCCAGCCACGCGTTTGTCTTCACATTCACAGTTTTCCAAGCTTAAATTTTTTCTATGACGGTATTTCAAAGGGAAGTTGGACAGTCTGTGTTAAGATGGTTAAAAATATGAATTATTTTTATTTTATAAATCAAGTTTTTTTTTCACTAAACAGTAGTTTTAATGGCTGATATTTAAAATATCACATCAAACTGTTTGTCATCATTTGACTATTGAATTTGCATCCATGCATGCTGCAGGATACGTGCGACTAAATGTTTGCAACGGACGATAGCTTTGTATCAGTACAAACTGTTTAACCTATTCCTCTTTGTTGTAATCAAGTTTTGTGAAGTAGGTATGTTCAAAACTAGGACACAATATGTGTGATCGAAAACTAGGATACCTCTTTTTTGCGACACGCGCAACCTCCTTTCGTCTATTATATCTTACAATATGAGTGAATAAATGTGATTGTTCTTTTTTTAATCTCGTTTTTTTGTAGCGCGTCTCAGATTTAGTTTAGTGTATCTGTGTGTTCAGTTTGTTTCTTCTGCGGCAGCCCTACATTTCTTGGTGAAATAAATAAGTAGCTTTATCGCTCCTTCGTCTCAAGGCGTTTACATTCCCTGCGTGAATTCCTTTTTTGTGAGAACTACCCCGAACCCTGATCATTCGGCAAATGAAGACCTCTTTTTCTATAACGTTCATGGGATCCTCAGTTTATGTCTGAATATAATTGCAGTGGTCAATGAAGGCGAGAAAGTCACAACTAGACATACGTCATGACAGCTTCTGGCTCACCTCTTTTTGCGGAGCCTGTTTTTATCTTCGGAAGAGCGTTGCGCAACTCACTGTATGTTAACCTTCTGGTTGGGTTGCATGACGGCTTTGCGTGGGGAGTTTCCATCAATTCATAGGCTCTTACAAGATTTTATATATGCATTGCTTTGGCTACCCAGATCGAGTTAATCTTTCTCTCAAAAACTGCTTCCCTATTATATTATTTCGTTTGACTTGAAGAAACTTTGCTGGAACCAAAGTTCTCATGCGATGAATCTTCCTTTATCCTTCATTATTCCCTTGGCGAAGGTAAGAAAAAAAAACAACACTTTTTTCTTGAAGGAAAACGTTATTTCGTTCAGGTCTGATCGAGTTCATAAGCATTCAGAGCATTGGAGATTAACCTGCTCAAAACCTTTAAATTGCTGCATGTGCATCGTAAAGAATTAGTAAAAGCATACTCCCCTCCGCTCCAATTAACTTTTAACAAGAAGAAAACGAAAAGCTTCCAGAAAATGAAAGTTGTATATTTGTAGATGTCGGCACGTTAACGAAAATTAACGCGTAGGTAACCGTTAAAACCACAACATTATCTAGCTGGAGTTCTGAAAACGTAGGTAAGGAAATTGCAATCGCAGAAAAAGACCAAAGCCGGAGGCAAATGAAGAAAAGAAAAAGAAAAGGAAAGGAAAAGGAAAAAAAATAGAAATAGCAAAGAGAAAGAAAGGATGAGAAGAAGAAGGAAAAAAAAAACGACTGAACTCTTACTTTTTATGTTGACATCTTTGGAGATGGAGTGTTTGACAGTCTGAGGGGAGACCTCTATTTTGGCCGTAACGGCTTTCATTTTTCCGATTTAAAGCCTGACGACCAAATTTGTTGTAATTTTACAGCTAACAGTTCAGTCTATTATATTGTAAGCCCCCTATTATTTAGGGGGGGTCCTGGAACGGAGCATGGGCTTCCAGTGCAATAGCCAACAACGTTTGAGATTTATCCTTTTTGAAAATATATAAGAAGCACGCCTTTTATCACCATAAACTACGAAGCACCTATTATTTTTTCTCTAAGTTTTCCGTAAAAGAGACACACATTTTTTTTTGCGTTTTTCGTTTGAACGTATAATTTCATCTAACGTGAGTGTCCTGTGTTTAAAGCTCAAAATGTCTAACGCTCATTTTTGACATGTTCCACCGAACGGATTTTGGCGGATTTTTAGTATATTGCTAAGTGCGCCAACCCTACTTAGATGACGTTGAACAAATTCTGTTGCAACTAGTTTGATGTTGAGCCTCAAAAATGCCTAGATTGACTGGACTAAAATAAGAAAAAAATATATAAGCAATGTGATACTAAATAAATACAATTTTCTTTGTGAACAGAGTGGAAAGAAATACTCTCCAGAGAAGGATCGTTGTGTTAACAGATGTTGTCAACCTAATCCATGTTTTCATGAAGGGAGTTGCCAGGAGATTTGTGATCCCATAGGGGCCAGGTTTAATTGCACCTGTCCAGCTAATTACGTCGGTACACGTTGTGAGCTCAGGTGTTATTCAAGCTGCAAAGACGTTTTTCAAAACAACGTGACCAAATCTGGAAGATACGTAATATGCGATGGGCAACAACTGCCATTTTACGTTTACTGCGACATGGAATCTGACTCTAAGTTTCTATGGGCTCTTATACAGACATTTTCGTTGTCGCACAAACATTTATTTGAAAACAAGCCATTTGTCATGAATCATCCTATCAACATGAAGAGTTGGATCGTTAACTGGACAGCCTACCGTTTGTCCTTGCCTCAAATGCAGTATCTCAAAAATCAGTCGACTCGTTTGAGAGTCACTTGTAATTTTGCAAACGAAGGACTTGTATACACTGACTACGCAATTGCCCCACTACAACAACATAAACTATTCTCGATCTTTTCTCGGCAATGCAAGTGGTATTATCATCTCAACATTCGAGGAATCCAGTGCTCGAAATGTACTGCAGTAACTAATCAAAGAGAGGGCCGTTCTTGGTTTATCAACAGCTACGCAAGCAAATTTGAGGCTGGGTGTACCTTTGATGGCAGACCAGGCATGAGAAATCAAGAGCACAATTTCGGATGGTATAGGGATGGCAGAATAAACTCAAAACACCGATGTTCATCTTCTCTTTTTTCAACAACCGAACACTGGTTAGGTATAAGCAATTCTTAAATTTGCTGTTTCTTTTTTTCTTAAAACATCTACAGTGCAAAGTCATGTCCGAGATCCTGGTCGTCCGTAAGGAAAAGTAACACGTTTTCATTTTGAAGTTTAAGTAAGAGAGAATAAGTATCAAAATATATAACCAAACCAACCAGGCGTCCTAAAGTTGGCGATTTGAGACGGACGGACGTACCCTGTATTGGCGTTGTGTGCCATAAATGTCTGCTAATTTTGCCCTAAGGCCATTTGGTAGCAGATTTGGCGAGTTTAAAATTTTGGATAAAAAATTGTTGTTGATCGATAAGTGGTTTTTGATCAACAAATATTGAAGAAATATATTAAAAAATGTGTGACACAGTGTTTTATCACAAGATGAAAAGTAACAGTATTATAGTATGTAGAAGGCGACACGAGAGCTCCGAGGCCAGGAGGCATAAAAATAAAGGTGAAACAGTAGATGGCTGTTAGGTCTTCAAATGTACCGAGTTTAGCCTAGGCCTGATATGCATCAGTATCAAATCTACTTAGGAGCCCGGGGATGGTTTCAAAGGAGGCGACAAAAATAGAGGTTAGGGTAAGGGTTAGGCTATTATTCTCGCCAATAAACCCCGTAGCCCGCTCCCATCAGTACCTGATTTGAAACCAAGATGATCGTCCGTTATATATACAGTAAGCACTCGATCTCGATAAACTTATGGAAAAAAGGGGACTGTGAACAGTCTATATTAGTGACTGACAGTGACACGATTGTCTCGGGCATCTCAAGGCCTCGTCCAAACTGCTCCACAAGATTCGTCTTAATATTTTGAAACGACGGATACAATTTTTTTTTAAAACATTCGCTTACGGTTCATCTTCGTTAGCTGCACTTGAATGATGAAGAGGAAAAACGTATTATACTAAATGGTCTCCTGCAAATTGTTGCAGTGATATCAATGGATTTATCTAAGGCTTTCGACACGATACCGCATGGACTCTTGCTGGCCAAGCTGAAGGCCTATGGTGTTAACAGTAGAAGTTGTATGCTTCTTAAAGATTACTTACACGGTAGGATGCAGCGGGTGAAAGTAGGTGATACAAGTTCTGATTGGCAAGAAGTCAGGCGAGAAGTACCTCAAGGCAGTGTTCTTGGTCCAATGTTTTTTAATATTTCCATAAATGATTTATTCCTACCAATCAAAACTGTACAATTAAATATGTATGCAGATGGTGGTCAACTCTACACCGCCGATACGGATCTGGTATCTTTGGAAAGGCGTATCTCGAGTGAGGTAAGCTCAGCAAATGCCTGGTACGAGATCAATGGAATGATAGCAAATCCCAGCAAACACCAAGGGATGATACTAGGAAAAACTGACCATCAGTTTAATTTCTCAGTAAATGACTCAGTGGAACTTTTCGGCGTTACAATTGATAAAGATCTTACGTTTAAGCAACATCTGTCCTCTATATGTAAAAAGGTAAACAATCAGTTTAGCGTTATGACAAGGTTTGGCAAACTGATGTCTACTGAAACCATGCTCCGTCTTTATAAGGCACTTCCTCACTTTTATTATCGTTCTATGGTGTGGCATTCCTCTAGTAAACAAGATTCTGATAAACTGGACCTTTTAAACAAACGTATTTTTCGATTTATTTTCAAGGATTTTAACTCTGAGTACAATAATTTACTTAAAAAGGCAGGAACTGCAAAGCTTAAGGACAAGCGTTTACAAAACATGATTCTTACTATTTTTAAATGTCTTCATTTTTCTGATTATCCATGATATTTAAAAGATATGTTTCGTTTACGCTCTAGCACCTATTTTTTAAGAGGACATAATATGCTCTGCTTGCCCAAATCATTGACCACTTCTTATGGTATCAATTCCTTTAGTTACTTGGCAGCAACATCTTGGAATTCTCTTCCTGACCATTACCGCACTATTTCTGATTTTACTTCTTTTCGACGACTGATATCTACTGGGAACAATATTTTACTTAAAAGAGCAGGAGCTGCGAACCTTTCTACATCATGATAAATTGCAAGTTAGTTGTCTAGGTAGTTAGTTATCTTATTTGTTATATAGAATTAACTTTTTATTATAATTATTTATTAATGTAGTTGGCTCGAAGATATTAGCACTTGAGTGCTACACTGTAAATTCGGGGGTAAATAAAGTTTATTGATTGATTGATTGATGGATACGTTCTAGTAAGTAATAGATAAAATATGAGTAGACATCTGTATGGGAGTTATCGCGGGCTCACCATTGTAAACGCCTTTTACAGAGATTGATCGGAAGCGCATGTCAGTTTTAATTGCGAATTGGAAGTGACACGATCAGTAGGGATCTCAATCAGATGTTTTAATGTATACGAGTTGCCTGGTTTTGCACTAAAAGTTAAATTCTTCTTTTATCCGCGAAAAAATAAGAAAATAATATGTGATCCAGGGGAACTGGGCTAAGAATATCAATAACTGACAGGAGGCAAACCAACAGACTATTATTTTTACAAGCATGGCTGATGAATCAACTTGGGGCTACCAAAAAAGTAGATCAAACATAGGGTCGGGGGGGGGGGGGGAAAACTAGGGGATAAATAAGTGGAGTGGGTACGATTTGCCACCACAAAGCTTCTCAGGATCGCCCAGGGATGCAGGTGAAGGAAAACAAACATGGCTCACTATATCTATATTGTGCCCCAAAGTGCTATTCAGTAGTTTTAGAAATAAAACTAACCCTCACTATTACAAAATTCCTAAAGATTAAGATTCACCCTGTATATCCTCTTCCGCCAGGATAACCTTGAAGACCGTCTGTCGTGGTTGGTTTGCTATCGTCCGCTATAGTTCTACTGTCCCTCCCGCTCCAGCATAGAGTTCAGTTCAACGCCCGCTAACTCGGACGGCGCGCAGCTTTCTAATGTTGCTCAGCATGCTCCTTCCTCTTGTAACTTCCCGCTCTTTGCTTGCGGACAATTTTGGCCCCATTTTTCAAAATTGTAATCCATATTATATCTTCTCCCATCTTAAATCGCTGTAGTTTTCCTCGTCTAGGAGTTTATAGTTTGCCAATATAAATTCTTGAGGTTCGTGGCAAAAATGACTCGAAATGTTATTTTTTTAAAAAAAGGACTGCTCTTATAACGAGCTTAAATCCACAGATTTTTCTTTCAATTGCCTTAACTTATGCTGAATACTTAACAGCGTATTTGAATATATTCATTAAATGATTATTAACATATATAAAACGATCGCCAAAAATATTGGTAGTTTTCTCTGTCACGCCATCGAAAACTAAAATCAAAACCGTGAATTGTCTAAAGCCAAGAATTTCAGATATTATAAAATATCGTTAAATTAACAACCTGGCCAAGTCTCACGCCTGTACAGTTTTCCACTGCTGAGTTGTTCTTCAAAATGTGTTACAGAAATTTATGGGGCTCACTCTGGGGACGCAATATCTGTGCTCCACCGAGGGGCACAAATATGGCGGCCGGAAATAATGCTAACATCTGGTTTCAGTATCGCCACAAATCTGATCAGTTGTTCACTGCGAACGAGCAAATTATACCCTTAAACACATTTTCTAATACTTTTGCAATTCAAGGGTCATAATATTATGCGATTTAAAATTATTTTTTAGCATGTGTGACGGCCTTCTCGGTCGTCATATTTATGTTACGCGGGGTAAACTTGGGAAATTAGAAAGAGCTTTATTTTCAAAACGGAAAACGCCATCACGTTGAAACCTTGCACAGACGTTTATTTTTAAAAAATCTTTTGCTAGATGGACATAAAACCTTAAAAAGTCCTTGCGATTTTGGAGGTTTAGATTTTTGTGAGGTCATTTGAAAACCAATTAGAATAGCTGGTTACGAGGCTGTTACCAGCTATTCTTGGTTTTCAAGTCTCAAATTTTGAAAATGATAGAAGCAGCACGTGCATGACGTAATATTTCTTATCACTTCGTAGATTTAAGGAAGTGTTGTATGTTAGAAGATCAAAAGAGCTACTCTTTTTATTTAAATAATGCTCCTGGGATAACCTGATGCGTGGCTGATTTGTTGAAACAACTAATTCTACAGTTGTGCCAGCTGGCAAAAAATACTATTTGTACTACTTGGCGCAGCCATTCGCAGCCATGTCAACATTCAATGTCAGAAAAATGCATATAGTCTGACTTCAACTGAAAGGAAGAAGCAAGCTACTTATAGCTTATTATTCCACCGCTCAAGGATAGAGACGGTAGCAATATTAATGTGGTCAGAAAACTTACACATCAAGCATTTCTACTTTCTGCAAATTATTGTGAAGTTAAAAAAATGCTGTACAGTCAACTGTCTCCAAGACGGACACGTTTGGTACCAGCACTAAGTGTCTATCTTAGAGAAATGTCCTTCTTATAGACAGTCAAATAAAAGGAGTAAGGAAAGGAGTAGGGTTTTTTTGGTTTTGTAAATTGTTTGGACTAATTTTTGTATACGGTTTTCCGAGTCGGGCTCCAGCCCATCAGGGTTATTCCGGGGTGTCTTGAGGATGTTCCGAGGATGTTTCAGGGTGTTCCAGGGGTGTCCAATGGTTTTCAGGGGTGTTCCTGGCTTGTTCCTGGTTTTAAAGATACCCTCCCAAGCATATTATCAAATGTTGAAGACAACAAAACTGTCAGGCTAACAAGTTTTAAAAAACCACAGTGGCAATCCATTTCAATCGTCATTAAGTTTGTACATCCGTGCTTGCTTAAGCATAAAATTATGGACATTTTGTGCACTTATTTCAAGAAATGCTTATTTTTCTTTTGCAATGTTCTCTTCCTGAACAACATTGAGTTATGGAAGTCTGTAAGCAGTAGTTTGTAAGTTATAAAGATTGTTAAAAAAATTGTTTGGCTTTAGAAATAACGAAAAGAAAACTTCACTCTTTGGAAGAAAACTATTGCAATCAATGTGGTACTTTTTTTTCTTAATCAAACTAACTTTGCATTCGTAATTGTTGCCGTGCACTCTCTCACCTTCCCAAGGCGCAA